AATCAGTTCGCCTTGCTGTTACCTTGGCCTGGGAGCCGTGACACAGTGCTAGGCCGTTGACGTGAATTATGTTAACGTTTTGCTTCTTTGAGTTAAAGAAGGTGTGTTTCTGTAAGGCATTTTAGGTTGAAAAGCCTGCACCAGGGTCCTTGCTGCACAGGCAGCTGTGTTTCTTCACGCTAAGTGCAGGTGTTCTGAAATGAACTTTCGCTGTCTACCTGTCGTGAAGGATCTGTAGCTGAAGACCTCTGTGGTCTTAGAATCATAGAATCAGTTAGGTTGGGAAGGGCCTTTAAGATCATCAAATCCAACTGCTAACCTAGCAGTAGGTGGGCGCCACTAAACTGCATTCCTGACTCTGACAGTGTTATATGGAACCGTTCATTGCCCACCGTATTACAGTAGGTTAATGCAGTTAAGTGGTTCTGTTAGTTGAGTTCTGTTGAGTTTTATGGTTGATTATAACATTTTTATTAAGCCTTTCTTGTGGCTCTTGTATTGGTATGCACTTTTCCTTGTTCGGCTTTTTTGATATGTAAGAAAATAGGCCCATCTGCAGCCTTTTATCGCGGTTAAGGAAGAGGAGGGACACTTGGGCTGCATGTTGTCATTAAGTCTATAGGAACTTACTGCTTTCAGATACCTTTTTCTCCCTGAGATTTGGTTAAAATTGAAAAGAGGGGCATGAATCACACATTGTGGTTAGGTGGTTGGAGTGCCTGGCACATTGATTGGCAGAGGCTGAGGAACGGAGGATTTTTTTCCATCTAGAGAAGCTGAAAAGGGGCTATCTAATTGCAGTTCTCTACTACCTAAAGGTGGGAGGGGTATACCAAAACCAGAGCCCTAGTCTTCCTGGTTAGGAGAGGCAGATGACCTTCACGCATCTTCGGTTTTCCCACTTGAATGGATTCCTGAGAGATGCAACATTTAACTGTTTGTCAGACAGCAAAACAGTTTGTTCATAACAATTAACATAAGGTGCACCTCAGCCTTTGAAAATTTAGCATCTCCTCCAGCTGATTGTTGTCTCCAACACTCCTCATATAATCTTCTTGTGTTTTTTGTGTTTGCCTCAAGTCCTGGATTTCCTTCTTTCTCATTATGTTTATTTTTATGAACAAAACTCTTTTTCTATCTGTCAAATTTGATTCATGTGTGATACCGAATGCTTAACATAAATCTTCTGCCTTCTCTAGAAAAGTTTCATTATCATCACCATCATCTTCAGCTCAATCATGTCAGTTAAGGGTGAAGTACAGGTGATGAATAATGAGCAGAGTGTTAAATAATTGGTGCTGCAACTCTAAAACAGTGAATACACAAATGATGAGAGCTGACAGGAAGTGTTCATGTAAGAGCACAGGCTGTTAAAGTTGTGTTTGTTCAGCCTGGAGAGGAAGAGAGAGCTATGGGGAATCTGGTTATAGTTTCCACTGCCTAATGGGTAGAGCCAGACTTTTCAAAGCACAGTGCACAGAATGAACTAGAGACAGTGGCTGAAAGTGGTAATGAGAAATCCTTATGGGAGGAATAGGGGAAAAAATGCCCAGAAAACTTGCAGAATATCCATCCGTGGAGACTGCAGTCACCTGAGTAAATTCCAGATCAGTTTGTATTAACATAACATGATGTACCTTTGATTTCAGCCCTGCTTTGAGCAGGAGGCTGAGCTAGATGACTTCCAGACGTCTGTTGTAACCAAACTCTTCTATGATTTGAGAATGAAGCTTTGACTTACAGCCTAAAAATACTTTAAGCAAGTTTGAGTGTTGTTTTTTTTTTCTTCTTGAATACCCATTGTGCTTTTAGAAACTTTACTTTACGGACAGGTAAACTCTGTTTTTATTTTTAGTGTATTGTTTGTGTGATTTAAAATTTACCCGTCTTTCCTGTGACAAGATTTGAGTTCTCAGTGCCCAAATACTCTTTTTGAAGGTGACAGGCTGAGATCTACTGCATTGATGAAGTTCATTAGTATTTACATTAGCAACCTTGCACAAGTTTTTCTCTTCTTCAGGTATAATGTTTGCATCTTTTAAGAAAAAATATAGCTGGTTTAAAATGTGATGATCATAACAGGCAGTCTCATAGCTAAACTGTTAAAACATACTAATATATTGATAATTGTAAAATTTTTTTCTGTATGACTTATAGTTCTCATTTCTGCCACTGACTGTGGATTATCTATATTTAGAAGTAATAGTTTATTGCACTGTTTCTCTAACAGCAAAAATTCAAGGCATGAAAAATACTGTTCCCAAGAATGATAAAAAGAGACGAAAACAGCTGGCTGATGAAGTTGCCAAATTAGAGACAGAACTTGAACAGAAGCACAAGGAGGAATTAAAACAGCTGAAGGAAGCTTCACCTGAGCAGAATAAGGTAGGTGCCTTAACTTTAGCTGAAGCTGTACAGATGCATTTTGTGTTAGGACTTCTATAACTTCAAAAGTTTATAATGAAGTACCACTTTTTCTCACAATATTAGTAACTCTTTCCTTCTGTGGAAAGATTAAGCATTTGCAGAGGGTGACCGTTGCTAGAAGAGGCATTTAACAGTGAGATTTTTTTTTTGTTGCTATTGAGCAGTATTTGGTTTTGCTCTTAAGGCTACATTAGTAGCTCAGTCCTCTTAAAGAATTTTTTAAGTTCCAGTTATATTGGCACTATCTTATGTAGACTAGTACTGGAGTGTTGCTGGTCTTCAATAGGTGTTTGACTGATGCAATGTTTTGTCTTGCAATTTGTCAACAATATAAATGACCTTTCTGTAAGAAGATGCTCACTGTAATGATGAGAATTGTCTTCCTGACTGATGTGATTCTTCCACACTGGCAAGATAGCTACGTGCTTAAGTGCTTCCAGTTTGCTATTTGATGGCAAACCACTTGTTTTTAACACAGGCTTAGCATAATTCAAATTTAGCAGCAGGAAATATGACCACCTGAATAAACTAGATACTATTAAGTATTTGTGCAACATACAAAACTTCACCTGTGTTTTAGCACTTAATAAATAGTACTGGAAACTCCTATCATAGTGTATTTGCAATCTGTAGACTTAATTCTATATATCTGGTACAGAAGAGAACTCTCTATCATGTGCCTGAATTTAAGGACTCTGCAGGTAAGCCTGCTCATGCACTTTCTTCTACCTAAATGGGAATAGAGTTTATTGCTTAACTGGTGGAAAACAGTTAATCTGTGAATGATGCTAATGCTCCTTAAGTGTTTCTCTAACAGTGTATGTCTTTTGACTGTTTGACTCTTGTAAAGAAACAAACAAAAACTTGTATGCCTGGTGCTTTCTGGACTGTTTTCAGATTAATGACCTAAAAGAGTTAAGCAGAATGCACTTCTCTTTGAAAATGAGAGTGAAAACGTTTCTAGGGAAATAGACTTGATTGAGAAGCATCTGCTGAGAATCCTTGTGGAAAAAAAATCAATTGTAAGAATTATGACCCTATAACAGTCTTCTGCATTAAACATAAGTGTTTTTGTTTACTGGTATCCTAGATTAGCTTCAGGAGTTTTATTTTGATAAATGACCTCTCAAAACTTTATGATGGAGGACGTTTCAATCTAAAATTCTCTGGACAATCTAAATTACTCTGGACAGTACTTTCCCCGAGAGAATTTTGTTTGGAGGTGTATAGTTTCTTTCACCTTTCAGCATTTTTATTGAGATTGAGCATATCCATGCTTCCAAGGGTGACATCTAGTTCGTACTGTTATAGGGTTAGCCTTCTCATTTTCCTTGAGAAGTGTCAACTCCTTATCTTTTCCCACTGCTGGTTATGCTTTAGAATGAAAGGTGGAGCCTTCTCCTGCTTTAACTGTCATGGAACTTGATAATGGCTATTTCGTACCTTAGCTGGCTAGTGTGGTGAGCAAAACTCTCTCTTTCAACTGGTATGCAGGGTTCACACTTTACTGTGGAAGCTTGTAAGAGAAAATGTAGTCAAATACATAAAAGGGGTTTGGGATGTGACTTTGAAGAGTTCTGGTCTATATGCAGATCTTTGTGGATAAACTTCTTAAATATACCCTGGAATTACCTAGGAACAGAATGTGAAACTGTTTCAGGAGAAGCACTTCTTAGTTACCATTTGTATTAATAAGAACATTAAATTTTTTGGTTTTTTTTTTTCTTTTTAGACAGATTCCATAGTTGATGGGGTTGCAAATTTAGAGCTTGCACGAGTAGAGCAACAGATTCAGCATCCTCGAATATCAAAAGCACAGAAGAGGCGGGTATGACTTAATATTTAAAAATTTTACAAGTATTTGATAGAAGTTATATTCACTTAAACTTAACTGTAATAACTGAAGTTAAACAGTATTGCAGGGGACGTTACCTGGCTATTTCAGTATTGAAGCTGTACCTGCTGGGTGCCTTGAAAATCTGTAACGCTGCTACCTAGAGCTATGTAAGCATTTTATAAACAGTTGTACTTTTTTGCCCTCAGCCATGAGCTGGGAATCAGAATAGGTCAGGATATGGGAGCCAGAAAAAAGCAAGTGATGTAAAGCAGGTGGTTTTACAAGAATTTCATGAGAAATGTTTTGAATTAAAGTAATGTAAAATACTGTGTGGAAAGCATGCACTGGTAGAACTTTATACGTTTAACCAAAGAACATGAATACTGAAATTCTTGTAAATTTTTGAGCTGTTAAGAGACACTACATGATGTCCAGGCCATTAGGGTTAAATCTTATGTTAAATTGTGGTGGATTAGCATTCTCATTGTACCTGCATGAATGTTGGTTGAGGGCCAGAGGAACACTGCTTTAATGCAGTCCATCCCCTCACCTGATCGCTACTGCAGAGCTGCCTTGTAACAAACATGGTAAAAGAGTGGTCTTAACTCATCACATCTAGGCAAACTAGAAATTCTGTAGTCTACCTGTCCTATACTGTGGTCCAAAACCAGGCTGGTCTTGGTTTGTGGTGAATTTTAAGTGTGATAGTGAAAAGAATCGTTCTCTGTACTGCTTCCTTTTTCATTTGTTCATTGACTCATGTTACTTTTAGCATAAACTTAAAAGGCGTTTTCTAAAAGTAATTTCTGTGTTATGTGTTATTACATCCCCTCTAGTATTCTCTGTATGCTTTCTTAGCCACCCCTTAGGTTAGGAGCAGTCTTTTATGATGTATTAGTAGTACCCAGCCTGAGGGAGTTTCAGTTTCATGATGCGAGTGTCATTATGCAATCATATGCATAAGTGGTAGATGCCATGTTTATTATGAAAGAGCAATATTTTCTCTTTAATTAGAGTTCCTGTATTTTAATTGCTTGCCAGTGTGGTGAAATAGACGATCCTGAAGAAATGACTGGTATTAATCGACTTTGTACGGGTTTTGTAAAGTGTTATTTTGCATATTGATATAATTAAGATTTCTCCTCTCACATAATGTTGGGTGTGCTACCAGAGGCAGTTAGGATATATTGGTCACCATTTGCTAAAGTTTGAGTTTAGTAGATCTCTAAGATTTGGTAGTTCTGATTCAGGAGAACATTTCACCAATATTAATATACTGAGAAAACATTTGAAGAAGTAGAAGCAAACAGTAAGCCAAGAACTGTACAGACACCTTCTAAATTTTAACATTTGATGTAATATTTCTGTCTTTTTAATCTTAAGGAAAAAAAAGCTGCCTTGGAGAAAGAAAGAGAAGAAAGGATAGCTGAAGCTGAGATAGAAAATTTAACCGGTGCTAGACATCTTGAAAGTCAGAAACTTGCCTCTCTGTTAGCAGCGAGGCACTTGGAGATTAAACAGATCCCTTCCGATGGCCACTGCATGTACAGAGCTATCGAGGATCAGCTCAAGGATCACCAAAATTCCTGGACTGTTGCCACTCTGAGGAACCAAACAGCAAAGTATATGCAAAGTCATGTGGATGACTTCCTGCCATTTCTTACAAACCCTAGTACTGGAGATATGTATAGCAAAGGTAAGACTTGTGGCCTGAGAGATTAAAAAAATTATTATAACTATTTCTGATAATTCTTGATCTCAGTTGCAGATTGGGACTAACCCATTATGATGTTTTTTCCTGAGCTTTGTTGCTTTGTTGGATCGGCTATGCTATGAAACTTGGTGCACGTGAATTTTTGTAATTTGTTAGGTGTTTGGTTTTGTTTTGTTGTTTTTTGTTTGGCTGGTTTTTAAATCTGGCAAACGTTATTGTCCATTTACAATAAAAACAAGTAAAAAAACATCAGAACTCAGAATTTTCTGGTTAGCAGATGGTACTAATGTTATGGAATGCAACTTAAGTTGTATTATAAAGAGCTTGTCTACCAAGTTAAGAATGATTTTTTTTTTTCTGTCAACTTTTATATTGATATTTTCAATTTACATAGGAAAGCTGTTTAAAATGAGTGAAATTCAAGCAAATCTATTTTATAATAGTTTGCATAGATGCGTTTTCTTATTCTATCCTTTATTTTCACTGTTTATGCTATATGTTTTGGAGCCCTTTCTTATAAATAGACTAAACTAAAATATATAATGACATTTTGTGTGGAGCAATGGTACAGGGTGAGTAAATGCAGTGAAGTGAAATTTATATCTTATTTGAGCAGCACATAGTCTATTCATTTATTACTACATGTCTGAAACACCATGCAAGTGACTTTTGATGTTTTTATTTATTTTTTTTAACTTACTGCTACATTCTAGTAATAGTTATTACTATGGATTTCTTTTGGTGATTGGGGACTGTTGTGAAGCAGGAGGAGTCTTTCCCGTGTTGCCAGAGATAATCGTCACAGGATAATGTGCCCCAAGAGAAAACTGAATGAAGTTCTGCAGAGCAGCAGGGAGCTGTGGTTTGCTTATGTCTCTTAAGGCTGTTACAAGGGCAATGTATGAAAAACAGTGCTGAGCAGTCTTCAGAAAATCTCTTCTTTTTCTATCAGATTCCTGTTCATTGAGTTCAGAAGCCTGAAGGATTGTAATTTATAAATTTGAAAGCTTGGAACATGATCTGCAAAATGTTTATTTAACATTATTATTAACAAAGGAGCTATTTGGAATAAATACTTCAGAGGTTAAAAGCAAGGCAACTAATTTCAAAATTTAAAAAAACTCCAAATAGTTTAACTACATACAGTTAGAAGATTTTAAAAAGATAGTTGGCACATGGCTAATGTAAGAACTGAGCAATTACCTGCTCTCCCATGCTCTTGTAGAGTCTCAAACCAACACCCTCTGAAATTTAACAGGAGGAAAAGTGTATGCAATTTTATGCTTCTTGTTAACAGTTCCATCGATAAAAAGTTTAAAATATAAACCTGTACTCCTTTTTATTTCCATACTTCTTATTATTCCTGTCTTCAGTGTTAATTTTTCTTTCTAAAAATAGTTGTGAGCTTTTGGGTGATTTTGGTGTGTTTTTTTTTTTGCCTCTGGTGTTTTTCTTTTCTATTTTTCAGTGCATAATGCATATTTTTCCTGCATAATGTGTTTGGCTTTTCAGGTTATAGTTCTTCATTGTACAGTCAGTATTCTTCCTCAGTTGCTTTTTCTCAATTAAGAGAAGTACTAAAAGTTGTGTTTTCTTTCCCCACAGAGGAATTTGAAAAATATTGTGATGATATAGCAAATACAGCTTCATGGGGTGGTCAGCTGGAAGTAAGTATTGTATTAATACAATTTTTGTTTGTGAAATTTTGAAGTGGAGCTTCTTAAGAAAGAGTACCTGAAGGCATAAGGGAACACAGTCATAAATAGTTTATCAAGAATTTTCTCCTACAGTTATAAATTGATTTTCCAAATTAGTAGCTTTTTCTGATGGTGTGCTGCTGTTCTGATGTATTTTACAACATTCAGATTAACAATTTCAGTAGTTCTATAAATCATTAGAAAAAATGTCAGTGGAAGTGGAGGAAGACTGCATAAGGAGGAAGCATCTTATTATGCAGATTTCGATGGTAGCAAAGCTGACTAAAGTGGACCAATGTTACAGTTTATTTTTTTTTAATGTAAATCAGAATTGAGCTTGAGAAAATGCATGTTTATTTTAGTTTATTTATTGTTTTGTGAAAGAGTAGTTACCAAATTACTGAAGCTAGCCCAATGTTATCTGTGTTGTATCATCAAAATGGTGATTAATTTAAGACAATCAGTTAAAGTTTAAAAAGTTACTTTAATTTTGCTTATTTTGATCAAGTTTGTTTTCTGACATTTGAAATGTTGTGCCTGAATTCATGAATTAAATGCCATGTCTTCCTCTCTCCTCCCTACATTGAATTTAATTCTATTACTAAGCTGTTTTTTATGCCTTAAAGCTAAGGGCTTTGTCACACATTTTGCGAGCACCTATTGAAGTGGTGCAAATGGATTCCGCTCCTATTATCGTTGGTGAAGAGTATTCAGGCAAACCAATAGTACTTGTGTAAGTATGTAATTTTATCCCTCCTTAAAATTAGTGCACTTATTTGTATAGAAGCGGGCTCAGCTTTAATTCTCACCTGCTTTTTTAATTTCTGTTCCGTATCCAACGTTGAAACGCCGCTTGAATAATGATTTTGTAGGTCACAAATTATGTTTGTGATTGACAGATATTCTAATTAGACCCTTAAAATGCTAGCAATAAGTCTGAAGTGTGATTCAGTCACTGCTTTATAGAATGCTACGAGGTCATTTTGCATGTTAGATAAGTACGAAATAATAGCGAATTTAATATAAGATGCAGCAGGAAACTTTTTCTCTTCAAAGTTTATGGTCATCTGTGCCCGAAAGTCACCGTTATTTGTTGTTGTTAATACTGTCCTGCTTAATGACCCGATATATTTTCTATGCTAAAACTTGCATTTATGAAGCTATCTTCCAGCGATGTTAGTGTTTGGCATGACACGTACTTTTAGTTAAATTTAATTCTGTAACTTTTTTTTAGGTATATGAGACATGCCTATGGATTAGGAGAACATTACAATTCTGTAAAGCTTCTAACGGATGCCACTACGGAAAACGGCAGCTAGCATACAAAAGTCATAAATCCACATGGATAGCAGTTGCATCTTGACGTGTTGGGCTCCAGACAATTCCCAGACAGACTGGAAAGTAAAGTTAAATAGAATGGATTAAAAAGGAAAAGACATATAAGGTTTGAAATAGCTCTTGATTTAAAACCAAACCAAAAAGTTGTGAATTTGTTGGTATTAATCATGTTTAGAAGGTCTTTAAAATTAAGGTTACCTGGAGGTCCCTGTTACATTATTTCAGGCTGATTTTGATGAACATGGAAAATTTAAGGCATTTAAAAGAATTGATTCTGTTTTGATTGATGGAATATCCTCTCCAGGGTTTCTTTAGTTCTGTTGGGATCCAATAACACCGTAGTAGGGATTCCCTTTATTTGGACAGAAAAGACCTGGAGGCAAATCCAGAAGAAGAACATACTGCTTGGCTTGATGCTGTTCCTAGCACTGAATCTGTAGGAAGAGCATTGTTATTTATGACTATACATAATATTGATGCAGGTTAACTGTGCTGTTCATCCTCCATAGTCTTTCATTTGTGCATTTCAATGATACAGAAATCTTATGAATAAAAAGCCTCAATATCCTCACTTCAGCTAGTGAAACTCATCTGAACTCGTCATTTATGGATCTGCTGTTCTAAGCATTTCATGATCTAAAGTGTGATGTTTTATAATGCTTAAAACAGCTGGTTGCATGCTGGCCTAAAAATAACCACCTTGAGTTTTATTAGTAACTCTAAAGGTGATCTGCAGAAGAATTAAGTTTATTTTAATTCTTCTTTATGATACATAGAGACTTGAAAGGTGGACTTCTTTTAATTTTACATTCAAAAGGTAGATGACTTTTTCTGTGTGTCTTTAAGTCACCATAAATGTGACTCCAAAATTAGCAGCATACTGAAACCAAAGTTGTAATGCAATTGTTTTTTTAACAATAGAATGGATTTTATTTTTTTTTTAAAGCCTTAGTCAATAACATGGTAATTGTTTGTATTTTAATGCTGATAAGTTGGTTTGGCCAAAAGCGGTTCATGTCAAGTTTAAACACCTTTGCCCCGATTTGAGGATTATGAGCTAACAGTGCACATCTTGTAGTCCTTCAGTAAAGCTAGCCAGCAGATTGACATTCCTGGGACTTAGAAATCTTCTCTTGCTCAAGATGGAGGAGATAAGTGTTCACTTTATGGATCAGATTATGTGTAATTTAAAGCACTTTGAGAGGAGGGGGTGGAAATCAGACAATTACGGTGGGAGGGTTGGACAAGCAGAACTTGAATTATGACTTCTTTAGAATTATGAATTATGACTTATGACTTCTTTAGACTGATGCCTGCCAGGAAAACAAAGTATTAACTAGTTCAGGAGATTGTACGTCCTTATTTATCTGATGTAATATAGCAAATGTAGCTATATTTATAGCAGCTGGTTTAAAAGGTGTCTGGCAGAAAGGGACCTGGGGGTTCTGACTGACGAGTGGCTGAATATGAGCCAGCAGTGTGGCCAGGTGGCCAAGAAAGCCAATGGCATCCTGGCTTGTGTTAGAAGTGGTGTGACCAGCAGGAGTAGGGAGGTGATTGTCCCCTTGTACTCGACTTCTTTAGACTGATGGCTGCCAGGAAAAGAAAGTATTTTGTTTATCTGATGCAATATAGCAAATGTAGCTATATTTATATCTGCTGGTTTACTGCAGAATTTGGTTTACTACCTTGATTGTATAAAATAAAAAAAGTTTTTAATCTCAAAGAAAAAATTGAATACAACAGAATGGGAAAAAATGTCTCTATTCAGAATACCACTGAATTTCACTAAAAATAATTAGCAGAAATTCTCTTCTCTGTTGCTTAGAATTGATGTGATATGAAATGCACATGCTGGATTTTATAGGTACCCTTTGAAAAAAAATCTTTGGTTTGTTGGATTTTTGTTTAACTGACAGAGAAAAGATGCTAGATTTGTGGAACGCCTGTGCCAACAGTTTGTCCTGTTGAAGATGTTTACAATTTGTATGAAGCGAAATGATGGTTTGGTATAGTGAATAAAAGATCCTTGCTGTATGGGACTTGCCAAAAAGTAATAAATTGGTTTATTTGTGGCAAATCTTGTCATGTTCACTTTTTATTTTGTACTTAGATTGTTCACTTCTTAATTCCTAATATTAACAAGTTTACTCATTCGCTTCTTAATTCCTTGTGTTAACAAGTTTACTTACTTAATTTTCATCGTTTTAGGGTGCTACTGTAGTATCAATTCTCCAACAGCTGACTATTCATATTCAAGCAGACAAAACTTTACTCCTTATGAAATTGTTTCTAAACAAAATTTATTCTCAGCGTTTTAGCAATTAAATTTGTACTCTTCTGAGAAGGTGTATTTGAAAAATACCACTGAACTTTTTCATACATAAAAATGATCGAGTAAAACTGAGGGAGTTTTCAGAATTTGGCTTTTAACTTGACAGATTACATTTTCTCTGCAAAAATAACACTACTTATTTTGAGTTTATATATATATATTTAAGTAGCTTTTCTTGCTTTTATCTGTAATTCATTGACATTAGCTTCTCTAGCCACCCTTTGTTATAAAGGCAGTTAGATTGGGTGTTTTTTTGTGTTTTTTTTTTGCAAGATTAATTGGGATTAGTTTCCAGTAGGAATGCTCACATGAATGGGAGGGAAACTGTCTAGTAGTCTGCAAGAAGTTACATACACTATTCTTAAAGGGAAGAAGTTACTTATTGCTGATTTATTTCTTGAAAGCAGTACAGTCAGGCAAGTCGGGGCAGGGATGAGGCCAGCCTCATCTCTGAGCTGCAAGTGCTGCTTGGTCTTCATCCCTGTCCCCTTCACCTCGTCTGTGCCCAGTCTCTGCTTTACCCTGTGTCCCTCAAAGTCTGGGCTGCAGCAGCGCAAGAAAGCGGGTGGCAGGAAGTGAGAATGCAGGCCTGTCAAATTATTTAAATATTCCACGAGTTTAAGGATTTTAAAATTTTTTTTGTAAAGAGAAATAAATAATATAAAATGTAACAAACCAGTGGTGTTCCTTGTGCACCTCTCTGCAATTCTCATAACCTGTTGTGGTTACATACATTAAAATATTACACCAAATCTAAAAAACTGTGAAGAGGGGAATTTGTTTCCTTGAGGAAACAACAACTTGCCTTGAGGCAAAATTTTTGCTAGAGGCACTTTTTGCCACCTGTCCATGCTTTGTCCTTCTGTCTCATTTTTTACCAGAGCTGCCTGTGAGTGTTGGAGTACCAAAAGCAAGAAGCAGAATAGGGAAAGTCGTGGCTAGCTGGGGATACTTAAATGAGATGTGTAAAAATATCCAGACTAAGAACAGTGAGATGAGAGAGAATACAAACATGAGGGCTACAATAGCTCTAGGAGCAGCCAAGGAGAGAGATGGCAAACTAAGCCACTAGCTCGCTTTCCAGAAACAAAACCCAGATGGCTTGTGCATGACTCCAGGTTGTTTGTTCTTATGTTAAAATACATTTCTGAAAAGGGAAAGAAGATATTTGCTGCTTTTGTGAGCTCGTAATTTACTTAATATGAAAAATATCAATATAAATCTTTGTATGTATCTATGTACTTGTGTATGCCTTCACGCCTCCTGTGGTGCTGAGGAATTGCCCTGTATAACCACCAGCCTCCAACACTGACATTCTGTTCATTCAATTAATGGCTTCAAGGATAGTTTAACCAAGTGTTTGAAGGTCTGTACACCCAAAATTAGAAATATGTATTAAATATCTTATTACTTTTT